ACGAATAAAAATACTTTTCCTGCTGTTACACCTAACACTAGACTCCTAGACAGGATTAGATTTAACCTAGACACATATTTGTATTCGTTCAAAAATATCTGGTACTGTACTGTCAGTTTGATAGTTTTTATGGAGAAAAATTTCTTGGTTGAATAAAAATACTGCTAGACCTAATTCTTTCTGGCAGAAGCATATTTTTGGCCCAATTTCATGTGGTAAAAAAGCTGGTAAGTTATTGTCTTTAGGTAATAACTTAGATCATCCAACTTGGGAAATTTTAATTCCATGCTGGGGAAAAAGAAAAAAAAAGAAATGAGGAGTTTCGGATGGATAATTGAAAAGAAAATAAAAGAATTTAAAATGAATAATTTAGAAATTAGTCAAACAACACTAATATCAATTATACCACCATGGATTCTACCAGAAGCAACATGTCAATAATGGAAAAGAAACAAGATAAATCTTACACATAACTTCTTTTTTTAAAACAGAGGTTTTTGACTTAGTAAATTAATCTTAATAAAATTAACAAAATTAATGTGGTATCTGGATGCATTTAACAGCCAAAATGGATCAACTTCTATTCCATCTGGCAGGTTTTTTTTTTTTTTTTTAGTAAATTATTGATGTATTCAAAATGGTACGTGAATTGTAAATATTTTTTTAAAGCCAAAAAAAAAAAAGCTAAAAAAAAAAAAAATATCAGCGATAGGCTGCTGTGATCAGCGATACGAATTACCAGGAGGGACCGCCTGAGGTCATTCAATGGGGCTGATAACCACTAATAACGGCCATTCCATTGTCGTTATTAGTGGTTCCATCCGAAGCGGCTTCAGTCACAGTGGACTATCCAACACTTCCACTCTGAGCAAAATGGCCTGGGAATATTTTGGATTCTTCCCCACCTTTAAAACCCAAAGGAGTCAATCTCCCACCACCCGCGTCAACAATGCAGCTGACATCACTGTTATTGTCATCTACTTTCTGATTGTCTTGGCTGTGGGAGTTATTGTAAGTGTTACAAACTGTCAACTTGTTGAAAGCCTGTTTGCACGATTTATTTACAATTATGTCGTTGTAACTTGCTTAAGCAAATTGCTAGAAAAATGTAATGCTTTTTTGTTGCTGCTTTAGGTAAAACAAACAGATTATTATTTTATTTTATTTTATTTATTTATTTTTTGCACAATAACGAATGATAAAGTAGTGTCATGGCATTCCAGGTGTTCTGAACTGACGGAGCAAAGAGGAAAGACCGTTATGGTGTGTGAGCTGAATATTACAGTGTTTGCAGTGATTCTTCTGTTCATCATTAGAGAAAATTCATCAGAGATCCTCTGACTGTCGCTGCTGGAGAAATATTCGACAACATCATCCTTTAGGAGTAAAAAGAAAAAAAGATCGACCATCAAGCTCAGTAAACCGGGTTCATAGAGCCGTTAGCGGTTGAGACTCGTTAGCCGCTAACGGTCTCACCTCACTCTGCGAGGAAAGAGACAACTGAACAATCAAGATAAGTTGTTTCTGAGTTGAATATTTGGGCATGACAATAAGAGAGCGCAGTGCTGGATGTTTATTCAGCAATTGTTGCTTTAATTACCTGCGACGGGCAGCGGGGGGAAACGTATACTACAGCGATGGGAACACTGATGCCGATCCTATGATATTCCCGGATTCTCCCATCAACAGAAATCCTGCGGCGATGAGCCTCAACCCTCTACACGCCATCTTAAAAGCGGTGAACGATAGAGCGGACGAGGTAAAGGCTGACATCAAGGATATTAAAATATCTATTGAGTTCATGCGTGACGAAATTGAAGAACTAAAAATTGAGAACTGTGCATTGAAGAATAAAACTGCAAAATTGGGGGCGCAAATAGAAGATCTGCAGGAGCGGCTTGCAGATGCAGAGCGCTACAAACGGAGATGGTGCCTACGGCTCTACGGACTGTCTGAACATGAGAATGAAGATCTGAAAGAGAAGGTTACACTGCCGTCTGTCACAAAATTGCACCTTGGATCAAAAGCAGCTGAAGGAATCAACGTAACTCATCGGCTGGGGAAACGAATCGACAGTATAAGACCAGAGCAATCATCGTACAGTTTGCTCACCTGTTTGTTCAGTAAGGGACATTTTCTGGAGAGGTGGGGAAAAATAACATCTACCTAGAAAAAACAAACCTATCCAAGGAAAACAAGGATGGTAGGTCTGCTCTGTGGTCTATCATTGAACAGGCTCGCATGGGAAGAGGGCCTACTTTGTGGGACGCAAAGCTTATGTGGATGGAAAGGAAATTCGAAGGGCTTCTGGAGAATAATAGTTTTACTCAGCAGTAAACCCTACAGTTTACAAATGGTTTAGTTAATTTTGGTGGTGGCTTCAAATTTTATTTTAGGAGTCATCTTAAATGGGCTACGTTTTACTAAATTACATTTCTTTAACTTTCAAAAAGCACGGAGCTATCATTTTTATCTGTTAATACAAGGGATCTGCGTAATGATGTAAAGCGTTCTTTTTTCCAAAGAGGCACGAGAAAAAATATTGTTTTATCAGATTTACATATTTTACTCATCTTTAACAATTCAACTTTTTCTTTAGATGAAATTTATATAGTGAATCTTATTATAAACCTAGCAAAATATTATGTCCACAGGTTGAAATGGAGTGAACAAATCCCCTCTTTTAATAATTTTTAAGAAATTAAGTTAAAAATGTATGTTGCCTCTGTTGAAAAACTTAACTTTAATAATAAGAAACTGGTAAAAACTTTATTTCTTCTCCAGAAATTTAACTTAATCTCATAAGCAGATTCCTCTTTTATTTATTTATTTATTTTTGCTTTTATTGTTCTTTTTGCTGTAATATACCCTTCTTTGTATGTATTTGAATATATTTTTGACGCCTTTTATGAAAACCTAACTGAAAAAGTACACATTGTTTTATTTTACCAATGTAAAATTATATAACTTTTGTCTTTCTAGACTTTAACATCAACATGCTCAATGTCTGTAATTATTCTTTATTTGTTTTTATTATAATATTTTAATATTTGTCATTGAGTTAACGTCTGTATGTATGTTCATGTTATTTGTTGAAATAAAATTATTTTTTAAAAAATCCTGGTGTGCTATGTTACTCAGTGTATAGAACATTAACTTAGAGCTAAACGAGATAATAAGCTTGTTTTGTATTTCCTTGTCCTGTTGCAGGCCATGGTCCGCACCAATCGATCCACTGTGGGTGGCTTTTTCCTTGCAGGGAGGAAAATGGTCTGGTGGCCGGTGGGTATCTGACAACAAATAAGAAGCATTTTTTGTTCTTTTGCTATTTTTTGTAACAGTCTTGAGAACTATTACAGTTGTGATGGAAAAGAGGTACATTAAAAAAAAAGTTCACTCTCCTTAACAGGGGTGACATGTCGGTCGCATACAAGTTAGATAGGACTGTATGGGTAAGAAGCAGCAAAAATCCAATTTGTTGTTTTCGTTCAAAATGGGCTTGAACTTGTTGAAATGAATCTGAATCTGTGGCTGCACAGGCCCCAGAACAATAGAAGAATTAGTCAGAAGAAATAATAAAACAGGAAAAAAAAAAAAAAAAGCAACTACAGAAGCTTGGCTTGTTAGGATGGGTTTGCAGGAGAATGCTGAACACTGAAAAGCCAGGATTGCAAAGTGGTAACAAGAGTGGAACCATGAGACTTTTCTTAAAATGGACAGATGAGACCAAATATTTTCTCACTGTAATGTTTGGCAAAGAAATCAGAAAAAAGAATACATTCCTGCAAACATGACCAAATTAAGCAAGGCTGTAAATGAGGTGGTTCTGTCGATCTTATCTACTCCCGAGTTAACTTTTAACGACAATGATTTTCCATCTATAAGAACATAATGAGGTAAAGCTTTTTATTGTCACCTATGTTTTGTCATTGTCATTTATGTCTTGAAATGGTGTGGCCAGGTTAAGGCCTACACCACTAGCGGAACAAGTCAGCGTTGGGCTGGGGTGCGGGGCTAATGACCGGGCCGCGTTTGTCGTTTGATTTTTACCTAGGAAGCACATTGGCTAAACCGTGAGTGAAAGAGTCACTGGGACTGACTACTATATATTTCATTGAGGGACAGTAACTTTAACATTACATACACCTTTCAGAACAGGCAAGGGCACACTTTCTCTGTCTATAATCGGACATTAAAGCGAGTTGAAACCATTCCTCCCTCCCTGGCACCTCAAGACCCGGGCCCCCATTGGCAGGCCCATCCCCAGCCCCCCATATAACTCCGCATCTGGCCTACACAATCTTATGGAGGATTGCTAACTTGACAGTGAGGAAAGTCATAAAAAGTCAATGCTAAAGAAGCTGAGTATTCACAGAGGGCTGTATCTAAACAGGTTAATAGAAAATTGACTGGAAGGGAAAAGTGAGATAGAAAAAGGTTTTCCTGAAACTGTAAAATCCACAACAGGACTGACAAGCAGAGCCCTTTCAATAGTTTTGGGGAGATTCATAAGATGTGGGCTGTAGTTAGAATTAGAGTCTCAAGAATCTCCACACACACAGTCTCAGCTACAACTTTTGCATTCCTTACATTAAACCTGTCCTAAATGAGATATCATATTATGTTGTGTTGGCCTTAAAGGCAGAAAATGTTCCAAATGTGTTTATCAGCAGAGCCAGTCATTCGGTATTTATTGATTGTTTTGGGACCCCTTTGTAAATTAAATATATATTTTTTTTTCACAGATCGGAGCATCACTCTTTGCCAGCAACATTGGCAGCGGCCACTTTGTAGGGATCGCTGGTACTGCTGCAGCTTCTGGTATTGCCATTGGTGGATTTGAGTGGAACGTGAGTATTTGTGATATGTTTTCCAAATAGGAAAGACAAGATCTCATAATGCAAAATAATTGGTTTGGAGAAACGGAAAAGTAAAAATCATGTTTATGTTTAATATTTTCTTGATGGTTTCAATGTTTTGCCATGTTTTGTTTGTTCCAGGCTCTTTTTATTGTCGTTATTCTGGGATGGCTCTTTGTGCCGATCTACATCAAAGCTGGGGTAAACAACATGTGCATTTTCTGTTGAAAAGTGCACCTGTTATAGTCATTGAGCCTTGATAAAACAAAATATTATCAAATTTGTCTAGGTGGTCACCATGCCTGAGTACCTGAAGAAGAGGTTCGGAGGACGGCGGATTAGTATCTATCTCTCTGTGCTCTCCCTCTTCCTCTACGTCTTCACAAAGATCTCTGTATGGGTTTTTTCTTTCTAACCTTTGAACCTTTCAACAATTCATTTAACAAATTAAAGTAAAAGATCCTTTCTGTCTCCTCCCAGGCCGACATGTTCTCTGGTGCCATTTTCATCCAGCAAGCTCTTGGACTGAACATCTACTTTGCTGTTATCGCTCTACTGGCGATCACTGCACTGTACACCGTCACAGGTGCATCCTCAGGAAGAAATTCACTTCCTTTTTGGAGATCAACATTTTCCTCATAAACCTACTTTACAAAATGTCTTATATATGTAAATGACACCCTGAGTGAGGGTAAAGTCTTCTCAAGGCTGAATGTACTGGGTAGATCAAAAACACATGTAAAGAGAAAACTCCTCCTTTCCTGGCTTGTATATCTGTGGTGTGTTTGTGGTTAATTGCCCATGGAGTACAATAAGCCTCTAATAGTTGCTGCTCTGCAATAATCTGCACACACCTTCACATAACCTCTACAAGACAAGCGGGAAAAGAACACTGACATAAAAACAAGATAATCCTATACTCTGGTGCACATATTACTGTCTACACTTCTGAATAAAAAAATGTTACAGACTGCCAACGCCATGTTTTATTTCAGGTGGACTGGCTGCGGTGATATATACAGACACCTTACAGACCATCATCATGATTATTGGATCCTTCATTCTCATGGGTTTTGGTAATAAGCAATAATCCTTATTTATCATTTTATCTTGCACCATTGATTTGTTTCATTGTGACATCATTAAGAAATGGGAGAGTGAGCATTAGTGTAACCATATATCCCTGTCTTCCCTCAGCTTTCAATGCAGTGGGGGGTTATGCAAATTTGGAGAAACTCTACATGGCTGCAATTCCCCAAAACACCTCTAACATCAGGGCAGAGTGCTACGAGCCTCGGAAAGACTCGTTTCACCTTTTCAGAGATCCAATAACAGGAGACCTGCCCTGGCCTGGCATGGTGTTTGGACTCACCATCCAGGCCACCTGGTACTGGTGCACTGATCAGGTCAGTAAAAATACAATCAGTACCTTTGACTGTGTGGATGCTTTACTTCCACTGAAGCTCAGTAACAGCTTTTACTGCATACCAGAAACAATTTAAGGCCATAATCTCATCCACTTGATTTTTACATAACTGTAAGCGCATTTGTTACAGAGCAGAAAATGATGGACCGTGTCACTTCAGGTGTAGAATATTTAATTAGTTTAAACTGTGAACAGAAAGCACAGCGGTTATAGTAGCTGCTTCTTATATCTGCTGTAAGCTGTTTTCTCAGCAATGGAGAACTTCTTCAGCCTGCCAGAGCGTCAACCATAGACATAATATAAGAATAGACGCCTAATGGACCACTCTCGCCTATTGTCACTGACGAGATTTAGGGCGGCCATCTTGGAGAGGTCCACCACTCCACTCAGCGTTATGTGTTTAGCAGGCACAATGACATATTAGCGCATTTAATCGATCACCACACACTTTTTTGTAACTGGAAACCATATTCAAACATCTGTCAAAGCTACATTTATCCATCCATCCATTTTCTTCCGCTTATCCGGGGTTGGGTCGCGGGGGCAGCAGCTTCAGAAGGGAGGCCCAGACTTCCCTTTCCCCAGCCACTTCTTCCAGCTCCTCCGGGGGAACCCCAAGGCGTTCCCAGGCCAGCCGAGAGATATAGTCCCTCAAGCGTGTCCTGGGTCTTCCCCAAGACCTCCTCCCGGTGGGACTTGTCCAAAACACCTCACCAGGGAGGCGTCCTGGAGGCATCCTTGCCAGATGCCTGAGCCATCTCAACTGGCTCCTCTCGACGTGGAGGAGCAGCGGTTCTACTCTGAGTCCCTCCCGGATGACCGAGCTTCTCACTCTAAGGGAGAGCCCAGCCACCCTGCGGAGGAAACCCATTTCGGCCGCTTGTATCCGGGTCCTCGTTCTTTCGGTCATGACCCAAAGCTCATGACCATAGATGAGGGTGGGAACGTTGATCGACTAGTAAATCGAGATCTTCGCTTTTTGACTCAGCTCTCTCTTCACCACA